GGAGGGTCAGAGGGAGAAGCAGACTCCCTGCCGAGCAGGGAGCCCGATGCAGGACTCGATCCCGGGACTCCAGGATCATGACCTGAGCCGAAGGCAGTCGCTTAACCAACTGAGCCACCCAGGCGCCCAAAGTTATATGTATTTTTAAAAGCCAGAGTGAAAATGAGGATGGTTTTGAGAATATAAAGGAATTTTTTAAAAATTGTAGACATGCCAAGACTGTTTACTTATTTATAAAAGATTTATTTATTTATTTGAGAGAGAGAGTGCGAGTTGCGGGTGGGGTTAGAGGGAGACGGAGAGCGAATCCTCAGGCAGACTCCCTGCTGAGTGCAGAGCCCAACATGGGGCTCAATCCCAGGATCCTGAGATCATGACCTGAGCTGAAATTGAGTCAGACACTCAACCGACTGAGCCACCCAGGTGCCCCAGATATACCAAGACCTTTTAAAACTAAGAGAAGTTACGGTGCTCAACATACTATTAAGAGAGAGCCTTAAACTGAGGCAGGGAACCTGGGTCTTTGTGTGATACTGACCAGGCTGCTTACCTCCACCCGCCTTCTTTTCATCCTAAAAAGAAGCCAGTGAGTTTCAGGGTTTTCTAAACTTCATTCTTTTGACTACAGTTGTGCAATATTTTCCTCCCACATTCCCAGTAGTTTACTGGGGTTTGTTTGTTTTTGTTTTTGGAGCCCAACGAGGGGCTTGAACTCATGACCCTGAGATCAAGACCTGAGCTGAGATCAGGAGTTGGAGGCTTAACTGACTGAGCCACCTAGGCACACCCAGACTTTACTTTAAAAAACAAACAACCAAAAAATACTTGTTTTATTGTGGTAAAATGCGCATAACATAAAATTTGCCTTTTTAACCTTTTTTTGTTTAAAGATTTATTTTATTTTTGAGAGAGGGAGAGCATATGTGTATGCACATGCACGCAGGGGGAGGGGCAGAGAAATAGGGAGAAGGAGGAAGCGGACTCCGAGCTGAGCATAGAGCCCTCACGGGCCTTGATCCTACCACCCTAAGATCATGACCTGAGCCAGAATCAAGAGTCGGATGCTTAATCAACTGAGCCATCCAGGCACCCCCATTTTAACCATTTTTAAGTACATTTCAGTGGCATTAAGTACATTCACAGTGTTGTGCAACCATCACCTCTATCCATTTTCAGAACTTTCTCATCACACAGAAACTCTACTGGTTAAACAATAACACGTTATTTCTCCCAGCCCCTTGTAACCTTTGTTCTACTCTGTCCATATGAATTTACTGTTCTAGGTACCCCATGTAAGTGGAATCATATAATATTTGTCCTTTGGTGTCTAGGTGATTTTACTTACCATAAAATTTTCAAAATTCATCCACATTATACCATTATCAGAATTTCATCCCTTTTTAAGGCTGAGTAATATTTCATTATACACACATACACACACAGTGCATTGTGCATATTCATTATCTGTTGATGTACATTTGGGTTTCCATCTTTTGGCTTTTGTGAATAATGCCATGAACATTGGTGTACTCATATATGAGTCCCTGTGTCCAAATCTTTTGAGAATATATTTTTATTACTATTAATTGAAATTTACTCCTAGGTGATCGTTTTTGTTGCTTTTCTAATGGGGTCTACTTTGTATATTTGAAAGCACTATAACAGTTTGAGGTACATATTGTTAATTTTGTCAGTAGGGGGCACATTATTACCTGTGTGTGAGCTTGCTCCTCTGATGGAATTGTCAGCTTCTAGAGGAAAAAGACCCCATAACTTACCTTTTGGTTCTGGGCACAGGTTTTCCCCTAAGCTCTGTAGACAGAAAACCTCAGTGTATATTTTTCAAACTGGGCCCTGTTTTGCTTAAATGTACCTCCCTAATGATTTAATTTCTCAGCAAGAAGACAGTTTCGTGGTGGGCACAGCCGAGGGGACAGTATTCCATTTTCAGCTGGTCTCTGTGACTTCCAACAGCAGTGAGAAGCAGTGGGTGCGGACAAAGCCATTCCAGCATCATACACATGACGTTCGAGCCGTGGCCCACAGCCCGACAGCACTGATATCTGGAGGTAGGTTGCACTCTGCTAGGTTACTTCTTTACCCAGTCCATGCAGGACTTGTTCTAATTCTGGTGCCATCTCTCCCCACCCCCACCCCTCTTGCCCTAGGCACTGACACCCATTTAGTTATCCGACCTCTCATGGAGAAGGTGGAGGTTAAGAATTATGATGCTGCTCTCAGAAAAATCACTTTTCCCCATGTAAGTATCACCTCCTAGCCCCCACTGTCCCTCTATCCTCTAAGACTGAGCACAGCTCACACTTGGCTGGGCAAATCTGTAGGACTTGTGGTGTTACCTACTTTCTGTTTTCAAAAACTTCTGTTTTTGAAGTAAGCCTCTCACAAATATATTTATAGGGACAAAGAGATTTACGGTAGCACTCCTAGTTCATTTTCTGGGGAAATCATCCCTTTTCCAGATAGTTGTGTTTTATGGGGAGTTTATTTGTTAAGACTGGATTCTTTTATTCTCGGTGGGGGCAGGAAAATCCAGGCTTCCAGTGTTCTTCCAAGGTAAAAGGACATCTTTCCAAGCTAGAAACTCTTCTCCTCACTACCTGCTTTTACATTCCATTCAACCAGTAAACCTTACTGAGTCAGCCTCCTTATTGTCTTGTCACTCTAATCATTTCTCTTTGTCTCCACTGCCATTATCCTAGTTTGAATCAGTGTCTTTTCTCATCTGGATTTGCTTGTTAAATTGATCTCCTTTTATTTACATTTGTGTTATTCCAGCCTATTCTCCATTGATCCACTCGAAAAACAAATGCTTAAAAGCTTTTGGTGATCTCTGTTGCCTTCAGGGTAAAGACCTAATTCCTCAGCATGGCCTATGAAACCTGTCCTTGGTCTGGCCCTGATCCTTCAGCATCTTCTCTCACTTCTGTCAAACCCTTGCTGCACCCCATCCCTACCCCCTCCCAGTTCAGTGTGCGGAAAGACTGTATTCCCTCTAATGCTCTCTTATTAACTTGGAGCTATTCTACATGCCATCACTCTGCTTGGAACACCCTGCCCTACCTTTTTTGCCTGACAAGTTTTTACTAATGAGCCTCATCAGGACTCCTGTCTTATCCCCACAAGACTAGATTAGATATCTTTTCTACGTTTTCTCATTACCTACTGTGCTTAGCCCTGTTAAAATTCTTAGCACACTTAGTGCAGTTGCCTGTTGAATTCTTGGTCAACCCTTTTAGACTACAAGCTTGAGACCAGTAGCTATGTTTTTATTTACCATTATGTTCTTAGATCCTAGGACAGAGCTGGCATATGGTAGTACTTAGGAAATTTTAACGAAGTAAAATGGATTTCGACGGTAAAAAATGTGCTAGGATGTTGCTACTGTATTGTACTGAGGCGATAGAATACCTTGGCTTATTTATCACTTTTCAATTCTTGGATACAGCGACGTCTCATTTCCTGTTCAAAAAAGAGGCAGCTTCTCCTTTTCCAGTTTGCTCATCACTTGGAACTTTGGCGACTGGGATCTACAGTTGCAACAGGTACAATGGGAGAAAGTCTTTTCCAATAAGAAAACTGGAGAGAGAAGCAAAAAATTAGAATTGCAGGTGAAATTCTGATTGTGGAAAAATGGGAGATTTTCCTGTGCCTTCAGAGCAAAGGAGTTCTTCAGAGTGTTAGAATCGTTATCAGAATACTGGATCATATGTTAAAAGTTGATGGTCCTGTAAGGCACACTGCAAAGGTATAGTGGAGGTAAGCGTTGTAGATACAGTTTACCCTGCCTTGACTGGGATCAGAACAGGCTGCTGAAAATGACCAGATTTAATGTTGGGTAGTGGCAGCCCGGCATGGAAGAGAAGGTCATATGGATCTTACTGGGATGACAGCCTAGTGGCCTTTTGTACGACCTGTTCATGAAGTGTTTGGGCTCTGTTGTTTTATGGTAGATGAGAGGTTTTTACTTTAGGCTCCAAAATGAGCAAATGAAGTTGAAGTCGAGGTCACACAAACCCCACTTGTACCCGTACCTGCATGCTTGACTGTAGGTTGTAGCTTCAGAGAATTAATGATATACCATGGGCCATATCCAAGGCATCCAAATAGAAGCTAAGAAAGTGCTCACTGCCTTCTGCCTCATATAAACCCAAAAAAATGTGGGTTTACTAAGTCAGACATTTTTCTAATTTCCCAGGGGTAGAGATTTCCATTCTACTCAGGAATGACTTCTCAGTAAAAAGAAAAATGTACAAATAATCTTTCTTTGAGTAGGAAAACCTTGGAAATTTCTTGTTCCAGGAAAGAATGGGGATACCCTTCCACTTTCTAAAGATGCAGATCATTTGCTGCACCTCAAAACAAAGGTAAGGAAGTTTAACTGTGTGTTCAGGCTCTGAAATCCAGAACATTTTTCTTATTCTGAATTTTGAGGGTTGCTTGGTTGATATCATAAATTCTGTAAAATCTTAAATGATTTAAATTAAGTACTGTGTCAACAGGACTAGGTTTCCTGTGACTATAAGTTAGGCATTCAGAATATATTGGATGAATGAATACAGGAAATTGTGTTTCTTTCTTTTGGTATTATTATGTAAATAACTTGCATATTTTTATAAAATTAAAATGGTACAGGCAGCTCAGTTGATTGATTTCGGCTCCAGTCATAATGTCAGGGTTGTGAGATAAGGGCTCCACGTCAGGCTCCGCGGTGAGTGTGGAGCCTACTTAGGATTCTCTTTGTCACTTCCCTCCCCCCGCCACCTCCTGCACACACACTCTCAAAAAAATAAATAAAAAATACTACTAATAATAAATAAAATGGTATAAAAGTATGCAATGAAAAAAAAAGCTTCCTTCTTACCCCAAATCCTGGTCCCACTCTTGATAGATAATCACTGCCAATAGTTTCTTGTATAGCTGTCCAGAAAAAATTTCCACCCATGTGTGCGTGTGTATATCCTTTTTTTCTACAATGATGAAAATATATAATATGCAAACTGCTTTGTAACTTCCTTTTAAATGTCTTTGTAAATTTTTTTAAAGATTTTATTTGAGAGAGAGAGCAAGCACGAGGGAGAGGAAGAAACAGACTCCTGGCTGAGCAGAGAGCCAGACGGGGGCTCGATCCCAGGATCCTGGGGTCACGACCTGAGCTGAAGGGAAACGCTTAACCAACTGAGCCACCCAGGCACCCTATTTTATTTTATTTTTTAATTTTTTAGTTTTTTTAGTAATCTCTATACCCAACGTGAAGCTTAACCTCACAGTTCTGAGGTCAAGAGTCACATACTCTTCTGACTGTACCAGCCAGGTGCCCCTAAATGTCTTTATTTTAATTACACAAATATTTGTGAATACAGTTTTACTGGAAAGAATTCAAACAGTATTTATAGTTTATATTCTTGACTACCTCTTTAATTCTAGTCTGCTCACCTGGAATAATTATTGTTAATTGATTGACTTTATCTCCTTCTAAATCTTTTTCTGTGTGACAGAGAGTGTGTGTGTGTGTATACATATGTACATATACTTAGATATTTTGTAAGTTTTTTGAATTATATAAATGTTACATTAAACTTTTCCTTTGTTTTGCAAACTTTTTTTATTTACTATTTCTTGGAGATCTTTAAGGCAGGTATCGTAGACAAACAAAATGCAGAAAATCAGTTTTCCAAGTCACCTGGCCTCCAAAGCTTTACTGCATTAAAGGCTTTTCTTCTCAGGTTTCTAAACTTAGGGTTTAGTATGAAGCTATCTTTAAAATACACGAAGGGCTGAGATAAGTTCACAGTATTCATAGACCTCTGTTCTTGGTTTTGGAAATCAAGCCACACCATTTAGGTGCTGTACATCTGAAGTAATCATAGTGACACCCAGCATATGAGTGTCAGGATTATGTGTAGGTATCTGTGGTTATGTCCAGAGTGGCAGTAGCTTGAGGATTCGTGTCACAGTGAACCTTATCATATGAAGTTTTTCTGGTTATTCATCCTGATTCCTAACATTCCCAGGGTCCTGAGAACATTATTTGCAGCTGTATCTCCCCTTGTGGAAGTTGGATAGCCTATTCTACAACTTCTCGGTTTTTTCTTTATCGGTTGAATTATGAACATGACAACATAAGCCTCCAAAGGGTAAGTGATAACCCAATGTCTGGTTGAACAATAAGAAATTTCATAAGTATGTGATTTTTGTGTGAAGTGGAATGTACTGGATATGAGTCTTTGCTCAATGAAAAGCTATTTGGAGGCAGCTGTTACAAAACATTCTTTTATTTCCATTTTGAAGTGATTATATTTTTGGAGGAGTAGGGAAATGCCAGAGAGTGGCAGTAAAGTTTAGGCTTTTGCAGAGATGAAACGGGGGATGGATAGGTTACGATATACACGTCAGTGTTCTAGGCGCTTGTTCAGTTGGCTCCCTTAGATACAGGAAGCATTAATGTCATTTAAGCCTGGCTATGATTATTTTTGATGGGTTCTAGGTCTCACTTCTCTCTCTTACTGGTTTTTTTCTACTGGTTCACCCCAAGGTTTCCAAAATGCCAGCGTTCCTTCGCTCTGCTCTTCAGATTTTGTTTTCTGAAGATTCAACAAAACTCTTTGTGGCATCAAATCAAGGGTCTCTACATGTCATTCGGCTATTGGAAGGAAGCTTCAAGCACCTGCATACTTTCCAGCCTCAGTCAGGTGGGAACTTGGTAACTGGCCAAGGAGGAGAGTTGTCAGTCTCTGATGTATCTTTTTTTTTCTTTACTTTTAAACCTCATTCATTGTTGGGGTTCCCTAATGCTCTTCTCTACCCTGCAAATACTCACATGTTTGCAGTTTAAAGTAGGAGGAGATATCTGGCAAGTGAAAACACTTGATGAGATCTGAAATGTTCCTTACACCTACTCTTTTCTCACTGGGTTTTTGATTCCTTATTTGGGGCCAGAAGTTTCATCACCCTTCTTAGAGTTTTGTTAGCAGAGCAAGAAGAAAGTTAAAATCATCTGTAATCCTGACACCCAGAAATAACTACCATTAATATTTTTGTGTATTTCTGATATGTGTTTATAAATAGGTATTTTTTGGACATGTTAATTTTTTCATTGGTTGTTATTTTATTTTTTTGAAGATTTTATTTATTTATTTGCACAAGCAGGGGGAGAGAGAAGCAGGCTTCCTGCTGAGCAGGGAGCCCAATGCAGGACTCGATCCCAGGCCCCTGGCATCATGACCTGAGCCGAAGGCAGACACTTAACCGACTGAGCCACCCAGGCACCCCTTATTTTATTTTAT